GGAAGTTTGTCCTTGGAGGTCGATTTATGTGGTATGCCCATAATAGACATATGACGTCCCATACTGTAATCACCAAGATTAGCCGAAAGTGAGGCACTCTTACCATCTTGCCCATCGTGCCGTATGGGATTACTATTTCTCGATATCTACGTAAAAAATACGTTGTAATAAATATTTTTTTTTTTGCATTAAAAACTATTGAACAGCCTTTTAATAATACTTGAAGGGGTTTATGAACTCCGTTATGAGATTTCTCATCCATGGTTGTTTAACCAGTCGAATGGGTCAGTTTGTTTTTGTAGATACACGTGATCTTAAATTATTGGTTAAAATTTCCTTATTCGACTGCCATAGAGTATGTCTACGTCGACTGCGTCCCCTTCTCCCCTGAAAACTGTGTTGTTTATTTTATTTTTATATATATATTGATATTTATATTTATTTTTTTTATTCATTATCATTATCGTCTCAATAATATTATTTTGTATTTAAATTTAAATAGATAATTATTTTTTATTTTATATTTAATTTTATATTTATTATAAAGAATAGGAGGAGGTAAAATATACCTTGCGAAATATGGAGCCTCTTAAGATTATGTTTATAATAAGATTAAGATCGAGGTATTATAAAATTATTAAATAATGTTACTATTCTTAATACATAATATTAATATATTCTGTTGCTATAATTGTTCTAAAATAAAAAGAAAATATAATACATATTAAAATTTTTAATGATAATTTTCATAGCAAATTTAGTATTAATGGTAACACAAATAAATCAACAATACAATCTGAAATTATTATATAAAATGGTCGGATCGATTAATTATTATCAAACAATAAAAAATTTAAGAAATTAAAATATTAAATATTCTTTTTATTTCCCATGCCTCAAAAAACAAAAAAAATAGAGTATTGTCCAGCAGGTCATCATTCTTCAGAGGATTCTTATTCTGATAGCAAAAATTCCGTTCGATTTGGAAATTGTTCTTTGTGTACTAGAGAACATTTTATCCAAGAATTTAAAACTTGGTCTAGTGGGAATGCCAACATTGATAAGATTATACAAGAATCTCAAATAAATAACATTTACAATAAGTTACATTGG